TCAGGCAGCCGTCGCGGGCTGGGCCGGGCCGTCATGGAGCGGGGCGGGACCTCCGCCGCCATCCTGTGAGGGGCGCCGTCGCCAGGCCTCGAACCACCGCCGCCTCGCGCCCTCGGCCGCCGGTCGCAGCGCCGGACGACCCGAATGCGCGTCCCGTGAAGGTGCAGGACACGCCGCCGCGGCCGGAGATGGTTTGGGCCTAGCGGAGCCGGGACTGGAGGTGAGCAGGGCCGGCGGACGGGGCCGCGCCGCGGGGGAGGGCGGCGGAGCTGCGCCATCGGCCTCGCCCCTCGCCGTCGCCTCTCCGGACCTTCGGGAGAGGAAGAAAAACCGGGCCCCGTCCCCAGCGGCATTCCCGGAGCCCGTCTCCGCCTCTCCTCCCCAGATCCTTCCTTCCCTCGGCCGTTCCGTCGCCCATTGCCCCCTTGTAATGCCCTCCCAGGGCCAGGCTATTCTGGGGAGAGAGCAAATAGCCCCCAGCTTCTGGCCGTCGCGACCCAACTAGTTCTCGCTTTCCTTCTCGCGATCCTGCGCACCTCCCCCACCGCTCCCCACCTTTCCAAAAAAAAAAAAAAAAGAGAGAGAGAAAGGAAAAATTCCGCCTCGACAAGCGAGGGGAGTTGACTAAAAATGGAAGCGTGGGGTGTAATCCTTGAATACCCCCCAACTTCTGATCGGCCTGTTACCCGGTTACCCCAGAGCTCGCTCTAGGATATTGATGTTTAGGCCTCTTCTCCAGCTGCCGGTGCTCGAGGTTAATCTCGTAATTGACGTCAGTGCTTTGTTCCTTCCACTTTGCTGTTCCTTCCACTCTTTGAGGTTGGATCATGGGATATAGGACTTAGGGGAATAACCCTCTTGCCTTTTCAGTCACAGAAGACATCATTTATAGGGAGTTGGAAGCGCAGATGTGAAATGCTTGCGCGTGCAGTTCAGACGAAGATGAGTTCGAGTTCTCGTAATTTTGTCAGAATTCAGAATTGTGCGATTTAGTCCCTGATGGCCATAGGCAGGCTTTAAACAGGATGGTTCCATTTTAAGTGTGTCTTTTTCTTTTTCTTTTTCTTTTTTTTAACACTAAGTTACAGGTGCCTGTGATTAGGCTATACGTGTGACATTTAAAATGTCTTCTTTTTTAGGGCTCAGATTTGAAAAGCTTACGACTGTGCTTCCAGATTGATTATACAAAGCTTTATAAAGCCCTTTATTTACCTGTTTTCTAGTTTATCCACCTTCAGGTATTGATGAGAACTTTCTTAATTCTATGGCTTGTGAATCTGTTTAGAATCATATTTGGTTTTTATGTGCATAAAGAAATATTGGCCAGTGGCTATTGGGTTCTCAACAAAGCTGGTTTCTTCAAAACTCTCTTGTTTATTTTCCTTATTAGTCACGGCATTTTTCATTCTCTAAACGAAATATATCTCAGGGTATTTTTAAAAAAATTTTTTTTTCTTCTCTCGGAACCGGGGATTGAACTCAGACCCTTGTGCTTGCCAGGGAAGCGCTTATTCTACTGAGCCATCTCCCCGACCCCATTTCTGGGTATTTTTAATTATCTTTTACAGTGAATCTGTTAAAAACCTTTGGAAGCATACAAAACAAAACAAACAAAAAACCCCAGCAGATTCGTTCAGATGGTGGTGGTTTTGAAGCTGATACTTTGTTAACTCTGTAGGAGCAGGAGTCACATTTTATTTTAGACAAATTTTGCCTGAAGTAGTATGTTTGTGAATGATCAAGTCTTTACTGTTCAGTTGGGGGAAAAAACAACAGCTGTTTGGAATTGGAATGTGGTCTGCAATTTGGGGGTGAAAGAGTCCCTTACTGTGCTTTGGTGAAGCTGTGTAATTAAGAATTCCTAAAGACAGTATTTTCATTCTAATTCACTTTCTACTTGTTAAGTGTCACATGTTCATATTCATACAGTGCCTTTACTATCTTTGAATGATTATATACCTTCTGCAACAGTTAAACCAACCATATTGTCATTTATTTTCTTTCTTTCCTTCCTTCTTTCTTTCTGAGGCAGGATCTCACTATGCTGGCTTTGTGCTCACTATTGTAGCCCCTAGGCTGGTCTCAAACTCACAGAGATCCTCCTAGTTTAACCTCCTGAGTGCTGGGATTGAACGCCCTGGGCCGCATGGTGAGCACCTGTATCGGGGCAAGAATGTGGGGTGGGGAATCGAACCTGGGTCCTGGTGCTTGCCAGGTAGGTGCTTATGCTTCTGAGCTATCTCCTGACCCCTACAAGGTGAATTTAAATTACATGTCTTAACCTCTTTTGAAGAGGAAGTAAATGTCATGGTTTATGTACACTTGAGAGGAACAAAGAAAACAGGTATTTATTCTTTTGTGGATTAGAATGGAACCCAAATTTTTTGTGGCCTTCCCTCTTCTTTGTAGTATTTTTCATAAAATCAAAGCATAAATACCGAGGGCAAACTTGAACAGTGACGTAGAAGTGCATTTTCTATCATCAGTAGTGATGGCATAGATTTTTTTTGCTTTAACTCTGGTGGTTTTTTTTTTTTTTTTTTTTTTTTTTTGTGGAACCTGGGATTGAACTCAGGCCCTTGTGCTTGCTAGGGAAGCACTTATTCCACTGAGTCATCTCCCTGGACCTTTAACTCTGTTCTACAGATATTTAAAAACTTTTCTTTATAAAGCTTTCCTGTCTTTTTCACAGTCCTCATGTTTTATCCTTTCCATTGTTCATTTTCTCGGATAAGCTGGGACAGATTATATTTGATTTCTGGGAGGATGTTTGCCAGTCTCAGTTGTTATGAAATAAGGTGTAGTTAGTGACTGAGAACTGTTCAAAGCTAACCTGACCTGTTATCTTGCTTTTTCTTTGGTTTAAGAAATGCACTATCACTTTTTCCAACTCCCTATAGTAGCCCATCTTGGTTATTTGAAGTTATATTCTGGCATATAGAAGAGAGCAACAGAATACATTATAATTATTAACTTATGGACATTTACATTCCTTTCTGTCTTGTGTTCAAGGCCTCATATCCTGAAATTTTTAATGGTATTGGAACATTTTAGGACATTGGAATATTTTAGAAAATATTAGTACCAATATAATTTAGTTCCAAAATACTCAAAAATAATACCTGGCAGGGGGGATACCATGATCACAAAATACTGAAAAATGTTCTAATATTGAGATTACTTCATTGTATTTTTTTTTTTCTCTTCCTCCTTTTTCTATTTTTGTGGCCTTGAATTTACAGTGATTTGATGTTTGGCACCTATTCTGTTTTGAAGGAATAAAAAGGTCTTATTTAGGATCTACCTGCTTCATCAGCTGTATTTCATAAAGCCTGTAACCTGAGTAATATTCTGAGGGGAAGGTATTTCAGGTAACTTTATCTTGCTTGAAGTGCCTAATCAACTTTGGTGTAGTGGCTTTTAGGCAGGGAGACACAACTTATTAGAGGCTGCTTTTAAAAACTTAATTATTTTAATAATCTTTTCTTGGAACAGGTAGAAAAATCTTTTGGATTCTTTTGCCAAGCCTCCTTGGGGAAGAAAGGGAAAAGGGGAAGGGAGGAAGAGGAATAACATCAATAGGTTGCCCTGAAAAGCCGATGTAGTTTGGTTACCCAGACTATAGTCTTTCTTTTCCTGGGGTTCCTTGGGAGTAGTTTGGGCCTAAATGGCTGGTAATGTTTGTTAAATAGAATTTGCCTGGTGGGTCATGCTTTTTACTTTGACTTTTTCAAGTCATCCTTCAAGAAGGACAGTTCTATGGAGAGGTGAGTACAGCCTGGTACTCTCCATCTGTAGAGGCTTTTTCATCTCTCTCCGGTTGTTTCCATTTCTTCTACTTGGGATGTCATTTTTTTCCTCTCAAGTTTTGTTTCTGTCAACATTTCATCATCTTTTAAGGTGTGATGTATAAGTAGTTGCCTTTGGTACAGTTTGCTTGACTTCTCAGCCTACTCCCATTATGAACTTCTGGCTTTGAATCCCTGTATCATTTTGTATCTCTTTGTAATGGCTAAACAGCTGCAATGGGGATTAGCCTGGTAGGAGACAAGGAGCAGTGTAAAAACACTAGTAAAAGACTTTGTATATAGTAAAAGGTAGACTTTGTATATATTTCATTGTATATCTCTAAAGGGGAAGGGTTAAAGGCCAGGGATATAGTTAGTGGCACAAGCTCTTGCCTGGCAAGCACAAGCTCCTGAGTTTGATTTCCTGTAAGGGGGTGGGGAGAAGGTAAAGACTGGGCCAGCCAAATAGCTCAACAGATTAAAATGCCTGCAAACAGGGGCTGGGGTTCTATGGGGGTGGGGGGATAGCAATTGAGACTGGGCGTGGTGGCGCACACCTGTAATCCCAGCTCTTGGGAGGCTGTAAACAGGCGTATCATTATGAGTCCAGTCTAGTAGCGAATCTAGTAGTGAGACCCTGAACACCCTGTAGACCTTCCCTAAAAAAAAAAAAAAAAGTATTATATACTGACATGTTAACAGGAAAATTAACATATGTTTTAGTGTCATTAGTGTCATGTAAGTGTTCACATTTCCCTGATAAGTTTTTGTTTTGCTTATTTTTAGTTTTTATTTTTATTTTTGAGATATCTCACTATGTAGTTCAGGCTGGTCTTGAACCCATTACGTAGCCCACACCCCACTAGTTTGTTTGGCTTTGGGTCATATTAGGTCCATTCGTTGTGCTGGGTTTCCATTTGTTTCAGCTCTCCCCCTAGTGACCTAACTTCCTGCCTTGGGCCCCATCTCCCAAGTGCCACACATGCTGGAGACCAAGGCTTTAAGCACATGAGCCTTTTTGCTGGACTGTCTTGGACTAGATGATAACAAATACCTTTTTTTTTTTCTGTTAAAGACAAGGTCTTCCTATATAGTTCAGAATGGTCTTGAATTCACTCTGTACCCCAGCAGGATGCTCTCGAACTTGCTCCTTTTGCCTCAGCCTCCTAATCCTTCAGCTGGAATTATAGCATGGTGTACCACCATGCCTGGCTGCAGCTGCCGTTTTTTTTTTTTTTTTTTTTTTAATTTGAGGTACTGGGGATTGAACTCAGGACCCAGCGCTTGCCAGGCAAGCACTTATTCTACTGAGCTGTCTCCCCGGCCCTGCAGCTACCATTTTGAAGTGATTTGTGATCATCAGTACACTTTTTTTTTTTTTTTTGCGGAACCGGGGATTGAACTCAGGCCCTTGTGCTTGCCTGGGAAGCAC